AAAAAACTACTCCCCTCACAAATGAATAGAAACAAACAAATGCAGAAACAACATTATGTCACAATTTTCAAAGCAAAGCTGATTTTTTCTCTCTCTTTGTTCATGTTGCACACAACATTGGAACAGCACCCATGACCACAAGTAGTAGTTGGTTTACTGCATTTCCCCAAAAGTAAGACAAATCTTACATTAACTTCCCCCCCCACCATAAATATGGTTCACTGTTTTTTCTATGGTTTCTCATAGAAAAAAAACCCAAGTAAGCCAACTGATATTATGTCTCACTCTTCTCTGCAAAACATCATACTGCTCTAGTTCAATGCCCAGAATGTCTTGCAGCTTGGAAGAATGTGACAAATATGTTATCCTTCACTCATATACTAAGTACAAATTCTAATGCAGGCTGCATATCATCATAGATAAATTGGGTAGGTCATATGGTGTCTGAAAAATTTTCTAAAATATGCTCTCAGAATCACTGAAACTCTTGACAACATGGGATTTTTGATACTGTCCAACTTCTTGGGTGTTGAATATTTCTGAGAATAGTTTCAACAAACATTAAAAATGAGCTTTTTCACAAGAGGGCTATGAAATTTAGGGAACATTTTCAAATGTGGGAAAACTATAAGTGCTCAAGAAGTATGCTCATGAACTGTTCCTGGGTAACATAAATTTACTCAAAATACTTTACATTTTTAAAATTAATCAAGGCCTGTGCATGGAAAAATACTGCCACTATGCTGGTACAGTATATGAGAAAATGGTGCAATGGTTTCTTGAATGTGGACATGCCACTTTTATGAGCCACACTTTCTTTGAATGTTAACCATGTTTTGACAGACAGTACAGGAAAAGCAGGTCCAAGATCAATTTGTTCTCTTCAATGGCATCCATCAGAACTAATTTTCAGATTGTGTAAAACAACTCTGAAATTTTTTTCCACTTTCCAGGCTTTCATAGAATCACAGAAATAATTAATGCTTTACAATCTGAAATGAAGCACACTTTTTAAATTTTTGAAAAACTCAAAATTTCTTGAAACCCAATTCAAGTTGCTCCTGGGATCAATCAAGATTGTCCAATGAACAGAAAATTTGCACATGGACTAGTTATTATCATTGATATTAGGATAAGTTCCAAATTTTCTGAAGTTTTGGGAAACTCATTCTTGAAAGCTTACCCAACATCATGTGTCCACATCAGCACCTCAAACATTCCATTCAAAATTTTTCTCTGAAATATACACCACAGGGAATGTGTTTCACAAGGGAAAAACTCAGAAATATATAGAACAATTTTCAAAGTGTAAAATTCAAATAACTAAGCTTGCTCAAGAGCTAAATTATTTTCAATGAAATTCTTTCATAATCTCATGTGCAGTTAATCTTCAACTTGATCATAAATAAAAAATACATTTCACCTATATGTACTAAAGATCTAATTGTTGAGCAAAGACATTTTCATAAAGATTTCCCATACAATGGTTCTTCTCATAATATAATCTTGTTTACAATCAATAATTTTTCCCCAGAATAGCCTCACTTAGTCAATTTTTAAAAAATGGCAATAATTATTTTTTGCTGATTTAAAGCTTAAAAAAACTTTTTGTGAAGAGATTTCACTGTACAGTACCTCAATGCAATATTTAACACAGCTAATTTTCAGTGTATACAGTTTACAAGGGTAAACTTTGAAATTTTAGCGCACTTCAATTTTCAACCATCATGGGTTGAACATTTTTCAGTGATGTAAAGCTGAATTCAAACAATTTCATTCAAACCTCTTTTTTTTAAATACTTTTCTTTAAAAAGACTCAACTTCTCTGCAAAACTAGCCCAAATCTCTCATATGTATAATGCATTTTTTGAAACACTTCCCTTCAGATTATTATCTGTAACCAGAAATAAAAAATAAAACACAGTGAGACCCCCACATGTGGACACCTTGACATGCAGACAATTTGACATGGGGACACTTAGTCTCTCATAAAAATTAATAAAAAGGGCCAAAAATGAGGACACTGACTCAACATATGGACATTCTGTGATAAAATTGCATTTCAAGCCAAATTACAAGAAACAGATATTTCCAACCCTAAAATGGATGTAAAAAAAGTTCTTGGGCATTTCTCTCACCAATTTACCATCCATTTAGCTAATTTACAAAAATTATCTCCAGCATAGAGGGACTTATTCCTTTTCTTTTTTTTTAATCAAATGTTATTTTGACAGAGAATGCCAACATTTCTATGTACTGCATGTACAGAGGTATTGGTATTCAATTCCTCAAATGTCCATATTGTGTTGAAATATATTGATCAAAATCAGTTTAAATTGGAAGACAATTTTTATTTTCATGGAATTATGATGAGTATTTTGTCCATAAAAACACCAATTAAAAATTATACAATGTAAGTCTAAGTGAAAATGAGACTATTGACTCAGGGACACTCTTGATGCACCAATTACATCCACATCTCGGGGTCTCACTGCATATTATCTGTCACACGGGAGGTTTTTTTGTTTTGCCTTCGGGAATAAGAGGCTACAACAATTTCCCGGGGTTAAAACGAAAACTCCTCCTCCTCCTCCTCATCAATTTTTTTCTCGCGGGGGAGGAACACAGCAGTAATAAAAACGCGCGAAACAGTCTCAGCAACCTCTTGTCAAAGCCCCACCGACGCCATCTCGTAATCCGGACTCCGACTACTCGCCCTCAACTGGGACTCGAAGCTGTCCTTGGGCCGGAACATGGCCCTCAGCACGTCCCCAACGTCCATCTCCGCATGCTTCCCCCGGATGCTGAAAAACTGGTAAATCATCGTGAGCGGAATGAACGTGATGGGCACGACGGCCAGAATGATGCCCAGGTTCTGGACCCAGTCGGGAAACAAGTCGGTCGACCCGGGTTTATCGTAAGCCGTGCCCGGGAAATCGTAGAAAAAATACACGAGCAGCACGGTGACAAAGAGCGGTGCGAGACACGTCCACGTGATCCGCAGGTACCAGTAGGTGCCACGACGCAGCGGCCCAATCATCTCCTCCATGTTCCTAATCAACCGCTCAAAGCCAAACACGTAGACGAGCGCCACGACGTTGCCCAGCGTCATCACGAGCACCGGCGCCGTGGCGGCATAATCGTTGAGCAGGTTGTTGAGCCAAATCCCGCCTTGGAATGTCATGGAAATGGCGCCGAGGAAGCCCGTGGCGCAGACGACGAGCGTGACGAGCGTCTTGTGTTTCCGCAGCGACGTGAACTGGTCCAGCAGGGCCGTGATTTGAGTTTCCATGTCGGCCATTTGCGTGCCGAGCCCGACGGTGATGAGCATGACGAAGAACATGATGGACCAAACAGGGGCAGCCGGCAGGAGGGACAGCGTGGTGGCGAACGTGACGAAGGTGAGGCTCATGCCGGACCCAGCGACATCTGCCACGTCTTGGCCCGAGGCTTGGGCCACGTAGCCCAGGGACCCGAAGATGACGAAGCCGGCGAAGATGGAGGTCATGCAGTTGCAGACCGTCACTGTGGCTGCCAGGCGCAGACAGGGCGTGTTGAACTGATTGTAGCTGCAAGAATAATAATAACAATATTAATAAATACTGTAAGAATATTAATACAATTATGATAATATTATTATTAATACAGTTATGATAATAATATTAATACAGTTATGATAATATTATTATTAATACAGTTATGATAATAATATTAATACAGTTATGATAATAATATTATTAGAGTTATGATAATAATATCAATAGAGTCATGATAATATTATTAAAAGTAATGTTAATAATATTATTACAGTTATGATAATACTGTATTTACTTGAGTACCATGCGCCCTTGAGTAAGGCGCGCACAGGGGTTTTTCAGTTTGAAATTTTGCTAAAATCTTATCCCCAAGTAAGACTTGCACCCCAATTTTTAGTGAATCTAAAACCATAAAATTTCAAAAATAAAAACAAAAAATTTTGACTTTAGGCATGAATTGAAGTGCGCTAAAATTTCAAAGTTTACCCTTGTAAACTGTATACACTGAAAATTAGCTGTGTTAAATATTTTTCAAAAATAAAAACAAAAAATTTTGACTTTAGGCATGAATTGAACAAAAATCTAATCAATTTTCAACTTTTTCAGCACAAAAATGTTTTCTTCTTGTACGTGTTCCAAATTTCTCCATTATAATTAAGCATAATGCACACATAACTTCCTAAAGTTTCTTGAAAATTTTGTACCCACTTATGACGCGCACCCCTTTTTTTCTTCTGAAATTTGAGAAAAAAGGTGCGCATGGTACTTGAGAATATACAGTAGTATTAATACAGTTGTGATAATAATATTAATACAGTCATGTTAATAATATTAATACAGTCACGATAATAATATTAATAGAGTTATGATAATAATATTAATGGAGTCATGATAATAATATTGATAGAGTTATGATAATAATATTGATACAGTTATGATAATACAGTAATATTAATACATTTATGATAATAATGTTATATTAATAGAGTTATGATAATAATATTAATAGAGTTATGATAATAATATTAATACAGTCATGATAATAATATTAATACAGTTATGATAATAATATCAATACAGTCATGATAATAATATGAATACAGTTATTAATATTATAACACAACATGAAAAGGTGATAGATTGCCCTTCATTTCCTTTTGCCTCTGTGTTCCAATCTTTTGCTGCAATCTGCTAAAACCCAACATCACAGGTCATATCACAAACCTTGAAAACTTCCACTGAAATACATGAAGAAATAAACACAGAGATGCCCGACCTAGACAGTGTCATGAGTCCGCCAAAGCCGATGCCCAGCGAGAAGAAGATTTGACTCAGGGCCTGGTACCAGACCTCAAAGTCCGCCAATTTGTTCAGGTCCGGCTGCAAGTAGAACTTGATCCCGTTGCCGAATCCCTCCAGAGTAGCTGCTTTCACCAAGAGCACAAGAAGCACTGCGTAAGGGAACAAGGCCGTAAAGTACACCACCTTGCCCGACGTGGACACGCCGTTTTTCATGGCCAGGAAGCACATGACGTAAGCGATGAACACGGAACCCAGGATCCCGGGCACCACGTACCCGTAGTCGTCCCAACCTGCAAACGCAAAAAAAAAAA